AAGACCAGTCCTTTTTTTGGCCCCCCTCCCTTTTTTTTTTTTTCCCTTTTTTGTTTTTTTTTTTGAGGTTGTCAGAAGGCACATGTACTCACCAGAGAGAACAGACAGGGAGAGCAAGTACCTCCTGTGGGGCACGGTCATGCCATAATCCTTTCTGCACACACGAATACCCAGCATGTTTTTCAGGGCACCAGGTCTGGGGTTCGAAATCGTGATTGGCCATGCAAGATCACGCTCACCTTCATCATGAGGCTCTGGGGCCTACCCATTTTTAAAATATTTTTATGGAAAGTATAATTTTGGTTTATATAAGTCAAAATGTTAGGTTGAGCTAGTATGTTAAGACCCCTTTAGGAAATCAGGAAAAGCAACTGCCAAGGATTTTTTTCTTTTCTATTTACTTTTTTGTTGCTATAGCAGAGATCCCTGTAGGAGTGTAAATAATCTCTGCTCTGGTATGTAACTCTATATTCCTAACTCAAAGGAGGGAGGAACCAGGAAACTGTTACATAACTTCTCTCCCCCCTTCTACGTAACAGAAGTTCACACAAGTTCTCCTTAGGGAAGAGTTTATGTTGTTCTTTGTTCAAGTCATTAGTGGGAGGCATTAATGATAATGACCCCCTGCATTTAGAATGTCCACCACAGCAGCTCTGCAGGAGAGATGACAGGGCATGTACAGGTCTTTTGCAGTACCGGCATGTCCGCCGCAGTGTAGACGCTCAGGTGATGCATATCTGAGCCAGAGTGGTGGTTGTAACTTTTCTAGAGTAATAGCGAGTTAGCGGCAGAAGCAGGAGCAGGGTGTACGTGCTCTGTCAGTGTGTCCAGTAGAAATGCAGTCACGTGTGGCGTGGTGACATCTTGGTCGGCAGCAGGCCGTGTAGACGACGAGGTGGTAAAGATGGGCTCTGCCGCGTGGCCTAGCGTGCAGCAGGCTTTACGTCCTAGTCTGTGGGTGCACAACAGCGACAGCGCCTAACGATGCACTTCTCAGAACGTATCCCCATCACTAAGTGACTGCGTTACGAGACACACACGTAATTTAAAATGTTCTAATAGCCACATTAGAAAGTTAAAAATAGAGGTGACACTTATTGTAACATTTAAACCATTACATCCAGAATACCAGTGTTTCAGTTTTAACCATGGAACTGTCTGTCATGCGCTGTGAGTCGGTGCGTGTTTACACCGACGACGCAGGAATAGCCCAGGTCAGTCTGAGCGCACCAGCGAGCGTGCATGCTTGGCCAGGGCTGCAGTGCTGGCAGCAATGTCTCCGTTCCCTTGTCCTGATTTCTTTGGGTGACATCACACGGACATGCTTCCATTTTCTTCTCGACATCTAGAGGAGATAGACCAATTCTATATATGCAGTAAATCACATGTCGTTGTGAGAGAAAGCTCGTGAGACTATAGAACAGTTCGTTTTTTTCTCGTAAGATTTTATAAGTTAGAAACTCTAGATTTGGAATCTGTGCTAAGTGCATTTGGGAATAGTGAAGCTAGTGGAAAGCAGCATGACAGCCTTTTCCCAGGAGAGGGGTGCAGGAGTACAGGCCTGCAGGGGAGACCTGTCAGTGACGCAGCCTCCGTGGAGACGTGGCCTTCCACACCAGTCTTCTGGACGCGCCCCTGTGTCTGCCACCTGGTGGCCAGGCAGAGCAGTGTGGCCGTTCCCGGAGCTCAGTGCCTCATCTCTTCTTGATGTTTGCTTCGAAATTTAAACTAGTTCTCCATTTCTATCTCAGATTGTCTAAAAAGGTCTGTCCTTATTTTAAAAATTGTTGGACTTTTAATTCATAATCATGTTTCTCTTGATGGTCCTGGAAATGCTCTGTACTGTATTCCTGAACTTAAATATATAAATGTATTTGTATTTAATAGTCTTTATATACTTTTTACTATGTAAAATATACAGCATATTTTAATTTAGTGTGTTTATATATTTAATATACCTATATAGCTTATATTTTCTTCTATTTATACTTAACAATATTTTAGTAAATTTATGTATTTAATATAAGTATATTAAATATATGAATATCTATGTTAGTGAATTTGGACAAAAAAGCTACAAAATGCGAAATGTGCCCTAGACAACATCTGCCCTGGAGAGGCGGTTACCAGTGGAATTAACACCTGTCTGTTGAATGATGGGCTTTAAGAAGGTGTTCAGAGAGGACAGAGCAATTCATTTAAGAGCCATGGATTGGCATCTAAATTGCGTACCCTTCTGAGTGAAATGTAAATAGTACACTGTTGGTTTTTGATATCTTTTGAGATTTTTTCCCCCCTTAATTTCAGAAAATAAAGCAGTTGGAGTGATGAAGTCGGGCCATGTATTTACAATTGAGCCAATGATCTGTGAAGGTGAGTAAAAAGGATGCTGTAACATAGATTAATAGGATTTTAAAATTTTATTATTACTGCTCAGGTCAGTGGTCTGGCTGCCTTTGCCTTCTTTTTGCATCATTTCCATCCCCCGTCCTGTCTCTGGCTTGACTCAGCGTCCTGTAGAGAGCTGACGGTTGTAAAGGTCGGCCAGAAAGTGGTAGTTCTCCATGGAACTGTCCTGCAGTCAGTAGATGCTGAAGTACTTGACTTGATCTCGGTCCCTTTTCACGAGAATCCTGTCCCAGGGTGCATTGTAATCATTAGCAGCTGGGCTAGCTGGTGGCGTGGCGGTTAAGGCAGCTGGATCCCACATGGCTGACCAAGCGGTTCAAGTGCCAGACCCAGCAGCTTGAGAAACATGCCAGGTGCCGCATGTGCGTGTGTGCCCACTCTGAAGGGGAGAGCTGAAGGAGAAGGGACTGCAGTGTGACCTTCCCCTGTGGAGGGTGCTTCTCACCCCCACCCCTTCTCTCTGGTGAGCACTTGAAACCCTGGCAAAAATGGAAAAAAAGAAATAATAATAATGATTAGGAGCATACGTAGATATTTTTGCTTGACCTAGGGTGGGGAGGGGTGAGAAAAAGAGAAGCAGAGCATTGTTAGGTGGCCACCACCTCGAGGCAGACCTGGTAATGTGATTTAATTCTCCACCATTTTTATCCCCATTGTGCAGAGGAGTAAACTGATCCTTGCCGAGGGCAACTTGCCCAACAGCTCTCAACTCATGACACGTTCTGACTCTTCAGGGTCGGTGCCCGCGTCGGGATGTGGCATCAGCTGCTGTGGAGAAAGCACGGCACTTGGCTTGGCATCCTTTGTGTCCTTACTTTTATTATTTCCTGTGACAGTGACAGACTTAGTGTCGTGATTTGAGCACCCCACTGAGATCGACGGGGTGTTCCGCTTTCCACTCATTATTTTCACTGGGATGGGGATGCACAGTGAGGCAAGGGTAGACTTATGTGTCCAGAGCCCTGTGTTAAAGGGTAGTTTCTCTCTGGATCCTTCCAGCCTTTTGGGAGCCGAGTCGTGGGAGTGGCTTCCCTCTTCTCTTCCTTAGACCTGAGTCAGCACAGGAGCCCACACTGAGGGGAGAAGGAGCTCACCCTGGGGCCTGGGTACCCGGAGGTGGGGTCATCGGAGGTCGGGGTTGTTCGAGGTCATCTTGGAGGATGCCACCTTCACCTGATTCTCTTGCCTTTTCTTTTAAAATGAACGTTATAATTTTGATCTTGCTTACTACCCTGTGGCTACTGTAAGAATTAAGTAAAATTATTTATATGATCATAAAATGCCGTATATATGGGCCAGCCAGCAGGTGGTGTGGTGAAGGTGGCTAGACCCCCATATGGCTGACCCCAGTTTGAGTCTGGACCCGGCAGCTTCAAAATCATGCTGGCTGCATGTGCATGTATTCCCAAAATCCCAGGTGGAAAAGGAAGAAAAGGGATTGTGGTGTGGTCATCCTCTAGAGGGGTGATTTCCCACTTTCCCTCCCACCGTCTCTGTGTTTCTAGGCAGTGCACATACCCTAAGACAACCCCCCCTCAAAAAAAAAAAGAAAAGTCTTGGAAAATTAGAAGGACTGCACAGATGTACTGTTTTTGTCATTTCTGGGAGTGAGGATAAAGTTGCAGCCGTGTGCGGCCAGTTGTAAGGGCAGTAAATACATCAGCAGTGGAAGCAGAGACAGTGGAGGGAGGGGCGTGTGGCTATACCCTTCCTGATCTCGCACCTGCCGGTGAGACCGTGCAGTATTTCCGGGAATAAGCAAATAACTTTCCGTAGAGCCAGTTCAGATCATCATCAAATTATAGCAGGTTTACTTCAGATTAATTCCACTAGGTAAAGTCCCAGCTCCAGCATGAGAAGGCTTAAGTCTGTAGAGGGATTTCCTCAGAATAGTAGCCAAGTATGCGAGACCTGACGTTACTGAAGAGCCTGTTACCAGCACAGTAAGATCGAAGTCGCCCTAAAGCCCTTTGTTGCAGAGGTTATTACATGGGAAAGTCCCAGTCCACCCATCCTTGGGTGTTTGGAAAAGCTTGAGTCGACTTTCTGTAAGCCGCCTTGTTTCCTTCTTAGCCCGGATTTCAGAGTGCCGGCCAGGTACCTAACTGCAGAGTTTACCTGCTGGGATTTGTGAGAGTTGGCGAGGCCTAGAAGTATGCTTCGCCCATGGGTTACTCTTAAGTGAAGAATGTACTGATTTTTTTTTTTTTTTTTGACATCTGATTTTGAAACAAAGTCTCTGTAAATACACATTGTTATGTAGTGTCCAGGCCTGACTCTAAGGGTGTCACCTTTCCAATTCCCTTCATGGCACCCCCTCCGGCTTCCTGGGTGTTCTGTCATGGTCTCCCTGTTTTCATCACTGTCCTTCACTTCTGTCCTCGTTCCAACTCCTCTCTGATCCAAGCCTCACCCTGTTTCTCTTGTCCTCTCCTCCATCCCTGTTTGTCTTTTGCCCGTCTTTCTGGTTCCAGGGGTACAACACTCACAGAATTCACTGTTGAGCATCTGACTGGGCCTGCCGTTCAGAACTTGTGTCAGGAATGAATTGCTATAATGAAAGTACGAGATTTTACATTATTCCCTTCATGGCATACACTGGCTATAGTTTAGACAGATGCCAAAGTTATACCAGGAAAGAGCTAAATTTATTAATTCAAGTTTTTACTCATAGTTTATGATGAATGGTATCAGTTTTTTTTAAAGAGAGTTTTGCTATAGAGCATGCGCACTCGCTGTAGAGACAGAGAGTGAGAACCCCCCCGCCCCAGGAAGGTTGCTATGCTGTAACCACCCTTCTCCTCCATTCTCTGGATTTTGGGCATGCTTGCACACGTGCCTGGCATGAGTTTTAAGTTACCGGGTCTGGGACTCGAACCATGGTTGGCCATATGGGAGTCCAGCTCCTTAACCACTATGCTACCTGTTGGCCCCTCAATGTGTTTTCTAAAATGAAATCCAGTGACTTTATTTGGGAAAAAGCATTTTAAAAAACTATTTAGTTTTATTTATTATTATTTTTAAACTTTGCTGTAGGGTGCGTGCATTCACCGGAGAGAGACAGGGAAAGTGAGAAACCAAGTCGCCAGGTCTAGGACTTGAACCGTGGTTGGCCATGTGGGAGTCTAGCATCCCACCTACCATGCCTCCTGCTGGCCCTGGGAAACAATACTTTTTATTTGATAGTCAAAAAACATAAGAAATGTGCAGTTGTAACAACTGAGGAATTGTAAACGTCATCCTCACTTCACTGGTACCAAAGACCAGGATGAAGTTGGAAACAATGACCTGCAAATAGAGGTCTCATGGTGAACTTTTCTAACTGGTTTTTCCTGGCTCTTGAGGTGCTCTCACCTCAAGAGTTTGTTTAGAAAACTGAGCAACTAAATTCAGAAATGGTTTTCGTTCTGTTCTAGGTGGTTGGCAGGATGAAACCTGGCCAGACGGCTGGACGGCAGTGACGAGAGACGGGAAGCGATCTGCCCAGTTCGAGCACACCCTGCTGGTCACGGACACTGGCTGTGAAATCCTCACCCGGAGACTCGACAGCGCTCGGCCTCACTTCATGTCCCAGTGCTGATCTCTCCCGGAGCGCTCATTGCCACAGCACCTCTGCGGTTCTGTGCGTGTTAGCGAGAGCACAGGAGGGAAGAGGAAGTTTTTTACCACTTGTTTTGTTTTGACTGTAGGTGAGAAAGGACTGCAGGCCTTGATGTGTCCTCCAGAACTTGTCTTGGGTCTGAACAGGCTGAGAAGAATAAAGGAAACACTGCTCAACTCCTGTCAGTGCCCGCCCCTCCCATCCGCACACCGCGTTCTCACTCGCCCTCGAGCACTTTCACTTAAGCCTGCTTCTAGTTGCTTCTGTCACTGCCACAAACGAGCCGTCACGAGCCAGCTGCTTTCCAGGTGAACGGGAAGAGGAGCGTCCTTGAAACTTGAGCAGCGTGTGTCGCTTCAGAATTTTAAAGATGGTATATATGGAAATATATATGTATACATTTTAAACTCCATGCCCCCGATGGCCAAACACTGAGCGGCCAGGGGTTCGTGTTGATTCTGCTCTGACGGGTATGTGCGGTCCTGGGACCCGTAGTGCGCAGTGATTTAGTTCCTGGTTGGGAGTCGGCCCCGTCCCCCGTGCTCATTCTGGACCCGTAATTGTGTGTTGGGAAGGGAAGCACTTGCCGCGAGCCTCCGGGGTGGGCTCTGTGTGTCAGTGGGGAAAGCGGTCAAGTTTTACTTTGGAAGAAGCTTTATCAGGCTTTTAAAAGTCTAGTTTATGGCAGAAATAGCCATGCCCCAAGAGAGAAGGGAATGGGAATTCTGTAATACACTGCTATTTCAGACCTTTATTTAGTCAAAAAACAGGGGCCCCCTTTCCTTCCCTTCCCCTCCTATTTTATTTCAAGGGCACACCTTGGAGATACTTGGAGAAGGGTGGACGTTGCACTGTGGAGGGTGATGGGGAAGAGTCTAAACTGTGTCCAGCTGTGAGCACAGGAAGTCAGGTGGGCGCTCAGTGGGCCTGCGGGTGATGGCGAGGACCTCCCCGAGTCCTGTAACCTGGCAGTGGGGCCCAGCTGCGGTCAGTGTGCTGCAGACACCTCCCTTGACTTATGGGCAGCCTCATCAGACATCACCTCCATGGCCTGGCATCGTGTTCCTTTCAGCGGTGTCCAAATCGGAGTGTATGCAGTGAAGACAGAGCGGCCCATAGAGGCGTGGGTGTGGAGTGGGCTTGTCACTGGTGTCTGATGACGCCCGTAGTGCATTCGGGACCCTGACACACTGTACTTGCGAGAGAACATCTTTCCCAGAGTGCCTCGGACCTTATTGCTTTAAGAGAATTATGACAACGTTTTCATTACTTTTATTATCTTAATGATTTAGTAAGGTGACTGAATCTGGTATAGACTTTTGGGGAATGTGTGTGAAGTTTTTATCAAACTGTAATATTTGTGAATGGAATGCCTTGCAATATGAATGTTAATATAATGTGTAAAGGGAGATTAAAAAGTTTGAATGATTATCCCACCATGTAGTCACTAACTTTGCCGCATTTGGGGGAGATTTCAGAGGGAAGTGGTGGAAACGGGGAGGGTGATTTCATAATCTAAAATAAACTTGTGACCATTTGAGCAAAAATAAGCTTTTCAGGTCTACTGGCTATACAGTGGTTGAGGTATTATGCTTAACCAGAGTCAACCAGAAGCATTTAGGAGGCAGACATACTTTTGAGAGCTTTTAAGACCAAGAATGTGAGCTGGCAGGTGGTGTGGTGGTTAAGGGGGCTGGACTCCCATGTGGTTGACCACAGTTTGAGTCCTGGACCCAGTGGCTTAAACACACCGGGCGCGTGTGCATGCGTGCCCAAGATCCTGAGAGAACGGAGGAGAAGGGATGGCAGCATGGTCATCCCCCCTGGACGGTGATTTCTCGCTTTCTGTCTGTCTCTGTCTTTCTGGCGAGTGCACGTGTCCTGTAGCAAGAACCTCTCAAAAAAAAGTACTGTCCATATTTTTTACTTTGCTGTGGTACACGTCCCATAGCCCTTTCTCCTTATTTACATGCATTATTGTGTTCATTAAGATCTACTGACAGAGAATCTGATCTTGCATATTAATGGAAACAACATTGGCCTTTTTCAGCAGTGTCTCCAGGCCCAAAGAACCGTCAGCTTGTAGAAGTCTGTTTCTTTGTTCATTGACCTACTTGGCGTATTGGTAACCAAGCAGAGAAGGTTCTGAAGCATTTTATGCGTGTAGAATGTTTTTCCTTCCCCAAATCAACAAGGCATTTTGAGACTCACCAGCTAAGTATTTTGCACTCAAATGGGGTAAATGGAAGCAGCTCTATATATAATTTTTGGAGCTGTTTTTATTTGGTATAAGTTGTATGCATGGTAACTGGCTCCACTGTAGCAGTTTGGGACATAATGCAGTTTTTTCCTCATCTCCATCTCAAAAGACACCATCATCTCATACAGTCTACTTTATGTGGAAGTTCTAGGCACATGGCATGAAGAATTTGTTCTAATTCAGACAGGTTTGTTTATGGACTTTCTCCAGCAAGATCAGTAGGCAGTTTAGACAGAATAGCTCACCATGCTAGAGCGTAAATGTAGGCAGGATTTGAAAAATGCTAGGCATATGGAAGTTTCCAATTAAGCAGAATAAAGACACTTAAAATTAGTTCCTAGCATGGCAGAATTTTAGATGCTTAAATCAGTTTTCCAAATTTTCATGAAATATACAGAAGTTTATATCCATTTGTGTTATAATTGTATTCCTTTTGTCCAAGAAAGTATTAGGTCATCAGGAGAGTAATTTTTAAAAAATTTTTTTCTATGCAAAAATGCATCATGACACTCCCGATGACCCAATAGTTTAAAGATACCTTCAAAAATTTCCCAGCAAGGCTGGCACCAGATCCCAAATGGCAACTGTGGTTTGAACCCCTGGCCCATTTGGCCTGAAACACACAGGTGCACTCATGATTCCCAGCACCCAACCGGAGGAAGGGGGTTGTGGGGTGATCAGACCCCAAGGGAGTGCTTCTCACACATGTATGTGCACAAGTGCTATCATGAATACAGTTTCCCAAGAATTCTTTCAAAGTGGTGAATCCTAACTTGGGACAGCCAGGAAGGATTTGCTGACATGCATAGTGAATAGTTTGCAGTCCTGTGCTTTGTATTTTGGTGGTCCACAAGCTTGTTTGGTTCAGCAACTTAGAGATCCCTTCCAAGTGGATGCATGGAAAGGATGTAAGAAAGACTTCACGCATATGTTGGGTTCCTGGAAAAGTTGTGATGTTTTTATTTTTCTATGCAAAAATGCATCATGGCTTTTCCAATGACCTATTAGATGTGTCCATAATCTAAGAATCCTTAATGATTTTTTTCTTCAGATGTGGGTGAGCAAAGAGAGGGAGAACTAGGCATTTTTGGCAGGGCCTTGCCAAGGTGCAGCCCTTCTCCCCAGCCTCTCAAGTGATGACAAGCGTGTGCCACTGTGTCCAACCTAGGTCTCCCGTATGGCCTGTCTCCACATGGCAGCACCCTCCCACTCAGGCCACTGCTGCTGGCTCAGCGTCTTGTAAAACTGACTTATGCTGCATCTTCGAAAGACAGTGGTGCTTTCAGCCAAGAAATGCTAATACTTAAGTGCTGGTCCAAGAGGATGTACTTAGCTGGGACAAAAAGGAAAAGTAATCTCTGTAATAGGCCTTCAACAAAAATTGGAGTAACATTCTTCTTACAACTGCTTTACTTTTTCATACTGGTGAACATAAAAATATTTGCCATTACTATTCATGTGCATCTCATGTATGAGAAAAAGAAGGAAAAAAAATTCCCTGACATTACTCTGTGTCTGTTTCGTTGCTGCAATGGCCAAGACGATATTTTCGTTCTAGGCGGCTAAACCAAACCTGTCATCAAGGACATTTCCTACAGCTGAGGTAAAAGCTATTTTAATTTATTCTTCCTCCACTTCACCTCAGAAAATTGTTGGGCCCATTTTGGTCCCCAGTGTGTCACCACCTCTCTAGGAAAAATCAGAAAACCTGGGCTTACACTGCCTGGGTTCAAATGCACCCAAGATCTGAGAAGGGGAAGTCTTGACCATCACTGTCACTTTCCCTGTTTTCAACTATGTGTGTTTCAACTGTGTTTTCTTCATCTATGTGTTTTGCTCTCTAAAAACTTCTTTTGAGAGCATTTAAGACACATCAATCAGGTATTAAGACACAGCTTCACTCCATCCAAAAGATATTTATGTGCATGATGATCAGGATGGTAGGGTTACGGGTCATTTTTACTTTATATTTCTTAGGATTGAAATTTTTAAAAACCCTTAGTATGTGCCATCATCACTAGGAAGACTGTTAGACCTGATTATATTAAAATAAAACTCTGTACACCAAAATACCGTGAATGTACAAGCACGCACAGGCACCCATATGAGCACAGGTGCCTAAGTGAATCTGAACCTCCCATGGTCCATACGACAGTAAAGGTGGGGTGCAAGTATGATATGTACATGGCATGGCTCAGGCCTTCAAGAGGCTAACTCTCAGAGGCAGACTTAGCTTCTGATTATCTCTGCCACTGAGGAAGTCTTTAACCAGTGGGCACAAGACCCTTACAAGCTATGAATGCTGGGGCCAGCAGGTGGCGTAGTGATTGTTACATTGCTGGACTCCCGCATGGCCAACCGTGGTTCGAGTCCGGGATCTGGTGGTTTGAAACACACAGGGCACATGTGCATGCATGCCCAAAATCCCAGGAGAATGGAGGAGAAGGGATTGTGGCATGATCATTCCCCCCTGGGGGAATGATTTCTCTTTTCTCACTGTCTCTCTGGCAAGCACATGTGCCCTACGGTAAAAACTTTGAAAGTTGTGAATGCTACTCAGGTTGATAGCAGAGAAGGCTCAGATACTCATTCACTGCTGTGTATCTTTTACTTTTCTTTTGCAGAATGAAGACTGGGGAGAGGAACCAGAAGACAACAGCATCAAATGAGAGGACAGCTCTACACAAAGGCAGAAATCACTTTATTATGTGAAAATATTCCTTAATGAAGCAGTTATTATGTGAGGTCGAGTCCAGCAAACAGATTTATGGCCATGAGGCTCATCCTTGATTAGGGTTATCTGAATCACATGCACAACACTACCCCTAGAACAGTTACTGAACTAAGTGGCTAGGAACTTGGAAAGCTTCCTCCCCCTGTCAGCTGCTCCCATCAGATGACAAGACTTAGGCACAGGATGGACATATTTTCTTTTGACTTTACATCTTTAAAACAGTTCGAATGCTGCAAGAGAAAGAGACAATAAATGTAGGTACTGAATGATGCCTTTTAAGATGAAAACTGTTTATTTTTAAAAACTTTACCAGAGGGTGTGTGCAGAGCAATGAGAGAAAGTGAGAAAGCACCCCTCTGTAGGGAATGGCCATGCTCCAGCCCTCCTCCCTGGTCTCTCCTACCTTTTAGGATTTGGGGCACACATGCACAAACACCTGGCTTGTTTCTCAAGCTGCTGGATCCAGGAAGCGAAATGTGCTATCAGCCATGTTGGATTCAGTCATAACCACTATGGCCTGGCCCCAAACTATGTTATTTTTGAATCTCCTTCCCCACATTCCCCAAATCATTATTTTATTCTGTAACACTAAGCTAAGGAAAAAACTTACCTCTTCCCTGAACGCAGCAGTTCAAAAGCTTCATTAATTTTATCAAAAGAGAGATTGTGGGTCACAAATTCATCAACTTTTATCTTTTTGGACATATATTCAGACACCAACTTTGGGACACTTTCCACACTCTTCCATCCTAAAAGAAATTAGACATCTGTTATATCTATCCATTAATTTATTCAACACATTTCTATTTCCGCTTGTGCTTGTTATTTAGTGAGTTACACAAAGACATTTATGAGAACTACTTTTTTTAAGGCTTAATCATTTATTTTTTTGTGAGCAAGAGAGACAGAGATGCAGAGAAAACAGGCACCTCCAAGGGGGGTCTTCAAGCTGCAATCCACACCCAGCCCCAGCCAGCCCCAGAACATGGGCAATGTGTACCCAGTGTGTTCAGGGAGGCCTGTGGATGCAAACTCAGAACCTTCTCATGTAGGTCAGCCTTGCACAGCACTGCATTCACCACTGTGCCACCATCTGGCCCTCAAGAAGGTGAAATTTTAGATGAGTTAAAAAGTACTGAAAAATTCCGGGACCAGCAGTTAGCGTAATGGCTATGTCGCTGGACTCCCACATAGCTGACTGTGGTTTGAGTCCCGGACCCAGTGGCTTAAAACTCACGCCGGGCACGTGTGTGTGCGTGCCCAAGATCCCGAGAGGAGAATGGAGGAGAAGGGACTGCGGCATGGCCACCCCCACTGGGGGGTGATTTCTTGCTTTCTATCTCTCTGTCTGTCTCTGTCTGGCGAGTGCACATGCCCTATAGCACAAACCTCTCCAAAAAAAGAAAAAAAAAAAGTAATGAAAAATTCCAAAATTAGCATGAAGAGGAAGAATTTGACACACACCTTTAGTTTTAAGAAGTAGATACTTTGGGGACCAGCAGATCCCCTGTAGCTGACCATGGTTTGAGTCCCAAACTCGACAACTTAAAACTCAAACCAGGCATGTGTGCATGTGTGTCCAAAATCCTGAGTGGAGAATGGAGGAAAAGAAAGTACAGTGTGGCTACTGGTGGGGGATCTCTTGCTTTCTAGGTCTCTGTCTGTCTGGTGAACGTATGCACCCTATAGCAAAAATCTCAAAAAAAAAAAAAAAAAAAGGTACTTTTGAGTATTTTCCATTTTCTATACTATGATTTACTAGTAAATCTTTTTAAATTTTTAGCCAACTGAGACTTTTAAACCATCAACATATGACTCTGGAAGTCGTAGCAACATGCTTATTTAGGTCTGTAAGTTTCTGTACTCATGATATTCAAGGAACTAAAAAAACAGATGTAAATTATAACATTTCCTTGTTTTTAAATTCAGTGAAATAGAGATAGCATCTCAGAATAGAAAACCATTCAAATGATAAACAAAATAGAAAATCTTTAAGTAAAAGAGTTAAAATAAAGTGAGATGCTTTAGTTTCTCACTTGTATTAAAAGAACTAATAGATTGGGATCAGCAGATGGCATTATGGTTATGTCGCTGGACTCCCATGTAGTCGACCACAGATAAGAATCCCGGACTAGGCAGCTTAAAACTCACGCTGGGCACATGTGCATGCAAGCCCGAAACCGTGAGAGAAGAATGGAGAAGGGACTGCAGTGTGGTCATTCCCCATGGGGGGTGATTTCTTGCTTTCTGTCTCTCTCTGGCAGGCGTGCACACCCTATACCAAAAAAAGCTCTCAAAAATTAAATAAAAAAGAATCAATAGATCAAAAAGAAGCCCTCCCTTTTTTAAAGGATGCTTTGGAACCTCTTTGAAGCCTTTTCCAAATCTCCCACCTTATATACTTTGCCAATTATTTTTTTCCCCACAAATTGTGGGGATTTTTTTCTTTCTCCTTTAATCGCCTGGTAATAGACGACTACAGCTGTTCTTATTTTCTCAACTGAAACTTCTACTTGCATATTTGGGCTATATTTTGTCAACAAAGTGGGCTCCAGTGCTCCAGCTAATTTCTCAGCCAGGCTGTGCCGGGATGAAGCTTGGCTAGAGATTACTACCAAGACCTCCTGGCCCCACCAGCCAGGCTTAGAACACACTTCCAAATACAGCTATGGACCCTGAGATTTTGCTGCCAAATGGCAAGGGTGGCTTAAAAAGTCTGTTGTGAGATGCTACATGAAAGGCTTTGAAAGCAGGTCAGTCCGACCAGTATTTTCTAAGGAAAATTTTGTAGTGTAAAGAAGGAAAACTTCAGCTATCTTTTCTTCTGGCCTTCCTATTCTTCCCCACCACCCACCTTTATGAGGGATTGGGGTGGGAGCTATAGGAGAGAAGGAAGGGAGGAAGGACAGAGAAGAAATGGGAAAGAAATAGAAAGAAGCATTTTTGACATGCTGTGCTGTGTCCTGTCCCAGCCTCCCAATTAGCTAGACACGCTCAGACTGGCACAGGAACAAAACCCAGGCCTCCCACGTGGCTTCCAGCCTGTCGAACAGTGGTACTAGCTGGGTTCCACCATGGCTGGGCTGAGGTAGGGAATCCTAGCAGACACCTTGAAAGACTATCAAAACTTGTTTTGTGGTTTTCTTTCATAAGAGGACAATGAGATACAAGTATTTACTTTGAAAACTTTTAAGAATTTTAGATGTCAATTGTCCACAATAGTTGGAATACACCAACACATTCTGAGGAGTTTTTTCTAGCTGAGCAACCATGAGAAAGATGGAAACTGTTTCCTGCACTCTACTGGTAGTTAGGCAACCCTAAGCAACCAAGTGCTGTTTAGGATCACACAAGGGAAAAAGGATCAATCTGGCAGTTTTGTTTTGTTGCAAAGTCCTGTCTAATATTTTCAGTTTAAGACTCTGTGTTGGCTACAGCTGAATTCAGCCCTATTCAGAAAGCACTATGGTCACATCTATCTGGAAAAATAGTAAAAGAAGCAACAACCTATTTAAGACGGTGCCATGAAACACAGGGTAGCTCATCCTGCCAGCAGATTCTCCACCCCTCTAATCCCCAGTGTCTTCCTCATTAAAAAATTCTGATTTTTTTTTTTTTTTTTTTTTTTTTTTAAGAGTAACAAGTGGTTATGTTCTTCAGGAGAAACAGTACCTCCCCAAGCCTCTGGGTAAATACCAACTGAGTTTCAAAACTTCCTTTTAGAATAACCTTGCATAAATGCCTTTATGATGAGAAGGTAGCCCATGAAGTTCTTATTAACGCAGGAAAACTGGGATTAAGAGCTGTTGACAGAGACAGCAAGAGAGAGACAACACTGATGTCACCGCTGAGTTACCTCCAAAGGCAGTGCCTTTCCACGTGCGGCCTGTCACCAGCTGGAATGGCCGAGTGGAGATCTCTTCACCTGAAGCAGCTACTCCGACCACCACGCTGATGCCCCAGCCTTTGTGGCATGCCTCAAGTGCTGCTCTCTGCGGGTATGACCAATCACAGAAGTCAGTGTACTCTGCTAAGAACTGCTTCCCCAGAAACTTCTAGATGGGAAGGGGGTGGGAGCAAAGAGGATTTTTTCTTCTTTTTTAAAGTTGTAAAAAATTAACTTGGCTAATATTTATTCATTTATTTTAATCTAACCAGAGAGAGATGCAGAGAGAGAAAGAGAGAGAGAAAGTGAGAAAGCAAGTCACCAGGCCTGGGACTTGAACCGCGGTTGGCCATGTGGGAGCGTCCAGCGTTTTAACCACCACACCACCTGCTGGCCCCAACTTGGCTAATATTAAAGAATTTATGCTTAATTGTTTTCTTATTTTAAAAGTAAATCATAGCTCAAATTGTAAAGATTTTCTTAGAAACAACAGGCAGGAGAAGTGATACTAATACCTTCAGTGAGATTCTACTTAGTATGAAGCAGGTGTTATTACTATCTGCATTTTACAGATGAGCAAACTGAGGCCTAGGGAAGTGAGGTCATTTGCTCAAGGCTGCTGAGTGAGCGTATGAAAGGGTACTGAATTCAAAGCCCACACACTCTACCGCTGCACTATTCTGCCTTTTCACTTAATGACACATACATTTAATATGCATTCTAGGTCAAAAACCATCTTTTTTCATCTTTCCCTGAGCTGTTCTTCTGTCATTTCTCATTTGTAGTGCAAAAGTTATTTTTCCCTTCCATTAGAGTAATTCTTACCAAGAGAGACCTTTTCTTTCTAAAACAATTTTTAATCTTAATTAAGGAAATTGCATTTTCTTTTTTTTTTTTTTTTTAAAGAGAATTCTGGGGCCAGCAGGTGGCATGGTGGGTAAAGGCACTGGACTCCCACATGGCCAACTGCAGTTTGAGTCCCATGAATACATGAATAAAAAAAGTTAAATAATTCTTTAAACAAAATTAAAAATTAAACAAGCAGTTCTGTAAACAGAAAAGGAAAGGAGCTGTGCTTACGCACCATGACCTTCACGTTACCGATGCACTCAAAGGAATAGTCCACTCCTCCATCGGTCATCTCCATAAGCACTTCCTGGATGGGCTTACTGAAGTCCTGAGGGTTGATACATTCGGAGGCTCCAAACTCTTTGGCTCGTGCATATTTATCTTTATTTATGTCCACACCAATGATCCGGGATGCACCAGCCACTTTACAGCCCATGATAACAGCCAATCCAACTCCTCCCAGGCCAAAGACGGCACAAGTAGATCCAGGCTCCACCTAGCAGTAGAGACAGGCTATAAGGCACCATTTCCACAAGTGTTAAGGACATCACTAGGATTCATAGACTGGCTGGTGTTCCTGTTCCAGCACAGCCTTGCTGAATCAACTCAGGCCAACCTCTTACCTTGGCCGTGTTGACAGCAGCACCATACCCAGTTGAAACGCCACATCCCAGAAGGCAGACTTTATCCAGAGGTGCTAAAGGATCTATTTTAGCAACAGAGATATCAGCCACAACGGTGTACTCAGAAAATGTGCTGGTTCCCATGAAATGTAAAATTGTCTTTCCTTTGCAAGTAAATCTGCTGGTACCATCTGGCATTAATCCTTTTCCTTGAGTAACTCTAGAGAAAATACAAGAGAAAAGGGCAGAATGGAAATAGTTTTCTTAAGACCCATAGAGAGAGAAATCAGTTATTAAAATAATGACCACTAAACACTCAGAAGTGTGCTAAGACCAAAAGTCCAATTTCTAGTATATTCACAAATAATTTAGTAGCTTTCAGCAATGCTGTATTAGGAAAATTTATAAGATATTTATAATCTTACCCATTGTTTCCAACATTCAACATCCTTTTGGATCTTATTTTCAGATTATTGAACCCATTTTAAGCAGTTCAACTTACGGATTAGATAAAATTCATAATACGACTTCATAAATGATAAAGCCAAAACCAGCATCTGCACAAGATTATAAGCAACTATTCAGATCAGCTGGTGAAAACAGATGGTGAAACTGGCAAATTTAGACCTTTCAGAAGGCTGCCTTCCAAAGTGTAAGAGTCCTCAAGGACTTGAGCTGTATTTCCTCTTCACTTTGTTTTCTCTCTGTAGTTGGTCATACCAACAGAGGAAAAAACCCCAAGAACTTGCCAAGGCAACCAGTACATTAAATTAATAACAAAAACTATAGTATGGGCCTTAAAACCAGACCACCTGGGTTCAAATCGTCTGTGATCTTAGTCAAGTTCGTTAGTCTTTTGGCCTTAGTTTCCTTACTAGAAAATACTTCCTATGATTGCTTTAAAAATCAAAGGAGATGTTATGTAGAGCACTATTAGCACTGGCTCTGGCAAAGAGTGAGTGTTTAATAAACATCTGTTATTTAAAAAAAAAAACTAATTTGATGTACTTTTAGATAAATCCTTTGGAATATATATATGTGAATAAATACACAGAGAAAATGGATTGCTTCTAGATTCACAAGTAAATTCATCTCCTTTGAGAAAAAGAACAAAACTATGATCAGCAACAAAGAATAGGTGACAAAAGTCCACCAAAAATAACTGTCACGGTTTATGAGAGTAACTGAAGTTTCTTTCACCCTCTTGACATGAGAAATCACCACTACAGGAGTTTCTTGAACAAAAAGATGACATTTTATGCTTGGAGAGAACTTTTTCTGGAAGGTTAGAGAGTCACAAAGAAGTCCACCACCATTTATGTATCACAAATTTTTTCAGACTGTGTATGAGATTATCATTCAAAGTAACCAATGAGGGGGTTGGGAGCAGTGGTTCTAGCTGTGTCAAAAGCAACTGGATCTACATCATAGAGTAAATGGAATTTTGTTTCCCAAAATAAAAACTGATTTAATCCATAGCATTAGAAAGCAAATGCAAGAACAGATGTCCCATACAATGCTATGGGAACGTAAACTGCTCCAATCACGCTGGAGAGCTGCAGACGCATCTTCTATGACTCAGCAGCTACAATCCCAAGAGAGCATAGTGCTTATGTTGATTCCAATGTATGTATGGGGTGTTCTTTATACACTCATAGCGTTAGACTTAACTTCAAACTGAGAGCGACCTAACTGTCGATCACAGAATGGACAAATAATGGAGTGTGAAATAGACTAGAACAAAAAGTACTCATGCATGTGCAACCTGGAGGTGCCTCACAGACCTTATGCATGCCAGACTCTTATGAAGAGCACATGCTACATGCTTTTCTTTATGCAAAGTTCTATCATGAAAGAAATCAAAACAGTGGTACCTTTGAGGGTGCAGATGTTGATTTGGAAGGGACATGAGGGACTATGCAGACAGGTTCTCATCTCAACCTGGGGGATGGTTCTAACCATCGAGTGTGCATATACATAACCACACACTGAGCTGAACTTTTCAGATGTAAATAACCAGTACTTTATTACAGGTATATTCTACTTCAATAAAAAAAAGCCAACAAAAAGGAACAAACACAAGTGGTTCTTCAACTGCCTCAAAGAAGTTCTTCATTTTTTTTTGGAGAGTTTTTTCTTTTTTTGCTATAGGGCACGTGCGCTCGCCAGACAGAGAGAGAGAGAGAGACAGAAAGCGAGAAATCACCCCCCAGGGGGGATGGCCACGCCACAATCCCTTGTCCTCCATTCTCCTCCCGGGATCTTGGGCACGCAAGCACACGCACCTGGTGTGAGTTTTAAGCTACCGGGTCCGGGACGCGAACCGCAGTGGACTACGTGGGAGTCCAGCAACCTAGCCATTACGCTAACTGCTGGTCCCTCAAAGAAGTTCTTAAGTGCTGTTACTATTCACATAACTACCTTTTCTATGTCAAAGGGTTATGTTATCTCCTTAAGTCTTCATGATAATCTCATAGGTAAGTTCTACTACTTGGATTTAATGAACAATAAAATGGCTCATAAAAATGATTTAATTTAACCTCAAAGTATGAACTTCTGTACTATATAGTTTGGCAAATTTAACTTAGTGTTATATAGAGAGAGCAGATTCAGGAAATTGTTTTATATTTTAATGGCTGGTGATACCAGCAAATCCTTTAATTTCTGAGGCAATTTTCTATGACTATGGAGACACTAGTGATAGTGAGATTGCTGTAAAGATGAAATGAAGTAATTCGTGTGAAATGCACTGTACAGACTGCCACGTTCATCATAACCTCCTGTCACTAACAACTGTTTGCAATGTGACCTCTAGTTTTAGGAATAAAAAAGACACTAACCTTATCTTCTGGCAAAGGTTCGTTTTAGGATTTAGGCAAAATTTGCACTCTCCACACTGCGGGATGTAAAGTGGGATGACGGTATCACCTGGGAACAAATGCGACAGCATTACCCCAACTCCGTAACACCTGTCTCTGAATACCTCCGGTCTGCACATTCTCCTTCCTGTCACCTGCTGTGGACTGCACAGTTAAAAACTTCACCCACGTGACATCAGTCTGATACTTCCTGACCATGCAGAACGTATGTTTCAAAATTTTTATCTAAATGACTTTTTTTCTTGGAGAGGTTTTTGCTATAGGGCGCATTCGCTCACCAGAAAGATAGAGACAGAGACAGAAAGCAAGAAATCACCCCCCAGGGGGGATGGCCACACCGTAATCCCTTCTCCTCCATTTTCCTCTTAGGATCTTGGGCATGCACGCACAAGCGCCTGGCGTGAGTTTAAGCCACCGGGTCTGGGACTCTAACCACGGTGGACTACATGGGAGTCCAGCGACATAGCCATTACACCAACTGCTGGTTCCCTAAATGACTCTTAAACAGGAAAACAAGGAGATCATGTGCATTCCGATACTGACTCATTGAAACATCTCTAAAAATTTTTTGCTTAATTTGCCAAAATTGGCTTTGGGTATGTAGTGAAACCACTTCAAAAGCAGTGACAAAAAGAATACCCAAACATCTGTGCTTCCCAGATAAGAATAAAATCAATCTTGACAACTTAGGTGATAATCTGCTCATAAGTAAACTGCAGTTTATTAGAAAAGATAGATATTCCCCTATAGAACTAAGCCAAATCACCAAGTAAGTGGTTCGAATACTCTCCTTACCCGCCTTCAGCTTAGTAACGCCTTCACCCACACTTTCCACAATTCCGGCACCTTCATGTCCCAAGATTACTGGAAAACATCCCTCAGGATCAGCTCCACTTAGTGTGTAGGCATCGGTGTGGCAGACCGCAGTGGCGATGATCTAGAATAGTAAAATAAGGAGTGTTTGAGTATGTGCAATTCAGAGTGAGAGACAGAGAGGCATTTTACTCTAATACTGTATTTCATGGCTTCTAAGGTACACTGTGTTCATTATTTTATTCTCTCTAAAGCCAACATATGCTTACAGTCTTTTAACAATTAGAACTGGTACCTTTTTAGTGGTTCATGAAAGTAATAGGGCCCATCTATGCAATGAAATACGGCACAACTGTTCTTTTCTGTACATGTCAGCAAGATATGGTATTCGAGGCGATTTTATGGGTATTGTGCCTTCAGGGGTGCAAAGGAACATCACTCCTGTGCAAAATAGGTGGAGCCCCTCTCACTGCTGGCTCCCTCATGACTGCTGGGAAATGTGACGCCCCAATAGGTATTACCTATTCTGAAATAAGCCAGTCTGCTCAAGTCTGGGTCAAAACTCAAGAGCTTTTAGTGGCATCAACTTCCTGTTTAGCAACTACACACTGTTTCTGCTTAAATAAGCCAGCCCTTTATGAATTTATCTCTCTGGCTTTCATGAATTGATCTTTTCATATCGTCAAAGTGCAGAAAGGTAAAGTCCTGGAGTGCTGCTTATCTTCCTCTGGCCCGTGTGCACCCACTCACGACGTAACAGTCCTTGTAATCTGCTGGTGGTTTCCCAGGGAGGCCAGCTTCCGTGAGGCTTATCTTAGCATCCAAGACAAACAATTTCTTCTTCGGTGGCAAAATCATAATCAACATAATTTCCAAACTTGAAAAAACCCCAGACTATTACAAGATTTCAGATTCCTGGATCTGGCTTAAAAAGGACCTTAAGTATTTGGTCCTCGGTTTCTCTCCCAATGTGTAGAGTCAATTCTTGGGAGCATGAGGAAGTATGTGTGGTATGTGTTTGGAGAGAAACTATATTCTAAGACACAGCAAAAAAAAAAGCTGTGACTCTTTTTCCTAAAATGTAATATTTTCCTAGAAGGTTAGTTTTATTTCATGGTCACTACTTTAAATCATACATTTTATATCAAAGCAAGTGGAGAGCAGAATGCCAAACACACTGTTTTATAAATGTTAAGACTTCAATGATCTCTCTAGCTGGTTGCTTTTGTGTGAAATGTCTCTATCCAGGGGCACTTAATTTCTCTGCTGCAGCAGAGGCTGAGGAGTACTGGAATAACAAAGTACCTAGACCCTGGCCTTGTCAGCCAATTTTAAAGCTCTCTACCCAAGCAGACTCACTTGTTTGTCGCTGCAGACAATCAGAAATACTTCCCAAATTTTGGTTGAAGCCCCTGCTACCAAAACAGAAGACTATTTCTTTTTTTTTTTTTTTTTGGAGAGGCTTTTGCTATAGGGTACATGCCCGTGCCAGAAAGACAGACAGAGAGAGAGAGAGAGAGAAAGAAAGAGAGAAATCACGCCCCAGGGGGGATGGCCACACCGCAATCCCTTCTCCTCCATTCTTCTCTTGGGATCTTGGGCATGCACGCACACACGTCCAGTGTGAGTTTAAGCTACTGTGGTCGACTACATGGGAGTCCAGTGACATAGCCATTACACCAACTGCTGATTCCTCCAGAAGACCATCTTTAATTTCTAAGATGTTACCATACACATTCAGTTATGGAATCAGCAGAAAGGAGAGCATCCTACAAAGCACCTTAAACTCAAACTGCAGAACATGAAGAGTATCAAATGCAGTGCTACAGACAGTTGCTTTTAGATTTCAGAAATATCTTTAAGATATTTTACATATGGGTGGCTATTTGGCTCTTACAAAGCAAAAAAGACAGAGAAGAGAGCTGCAGTGGTGACAGGGATAAGAGGAGGCTGCTGGGATTCCAACGCTGACTTGCGACACCTTCTAGACGCTGTCTTTTGGGATTTATCCCTGCAGACCTCAGATCCATTCCTCTATCCAGAGACCTAATTGTCAATGTTTTGTTGGTGCCTTCACTGTGTCATTACCTTAATTCGAACTTCGTGCGCCTTTGGTGGCGCCACCTCCACCTCCTCTATGGAGAGAGGCTTTCCAGCCTCCCAGGCAACAGCAGCCTTGCACTTGATAACCTGAAATAGGGAGAAAGGAGTAAGCTGTTTATTCTCCTACATGAGTAACCACTCAGAAGTTGATTTAGATATCATGGATGCTACACTTAGAAAGAGTATCACAGATTTATACGGAAATATGTACCCCTATGTGATTCAGAAAGCTTTTAGATTCACATAAATATACAGTTTTATAAGATTTAACTGAGAGGATCACATGGCCAGATATAAACACCTCTATGGTTAAAAAGTGTTATTCAAAGGCCAGCAGGTGGTGTGGTGGTTAAGGGCGCTGGACTCTCACATGGCTGACTGTGGTTCAAGTCCTGGACCTGGGAGATTGCTTTCTCACTTTCTTCTTCTCACACCTCCCATCAAATACCAATGAATAAATAAAGTTACATTAAAAAAAAAAAATTAAAAAGTGTTATTCATCTGGGCCAGCAGGTGGCGTGGTGGTCAAGGTGCTGGACTCCCACATGATAGGCTGTGGTTCAAATCCTGGACCTGGAAGCTTGCTTTCTCACTTTCCTTTTCTCTTGCATGAGCACATGTGTCCTGTAGCAAACTAAAAAAATAATAATGATAAATAATATTAAATAATTCTTAAAAATTATTATTATATGCTCTAAGTGTAAAATAGATCTGGATTTTGAGGACTTGGTATTAAAAAAAAGAAAAAATATTAATCACATGTTGAAATAAGTTTTAGGGCCAGCTAGGAGCACGATGCTTGTCTGCGTCCCACATGGCCAAGTGCATGGTTCAAGTGCCAGACCTGGTGGCTTAAAAAACATGTCAGGTGTGTGTGCATTCAAAATCCCGAGAGAAGGGACTGCAGCATGATCATTCCCCATGGGGTTTTCTTGCTTTCCTTTCCCACTGTCTTTCCCTTGGGAGTGCACATGCCCTCTAGAAAATTAAAAACAAATAGTTTTTATAAAAGAAGAAAGAGCATTTTAAATATATTAGATTAAATCAGGGCCAGCAGGTGATTTATGTGGGTTCGCACATGGCTAACCATGGTTTGAGTCCTAGACCTGGTGGCTTAGAAGTCACACTGGGGGCCAGCAGGTGGTGTGGTGATTAAGGTGCTGGACTCCCACATGGCCGACTGTGATTCAAATCCCAGACCTGGCAGCTTGTTTTCTCACTTTCTCTCTCACTGTCTTTCTCTGGTGAACACACCTGAGAATTGCCTGATAGCAAATTAAAAAAAATAAATAAAATTTAAAAGTGACATTGTGTGTGTGTGTGTGTGTGTGTGTGTGTGTGTGTGTGTGTGGGCACGTATGCCCAAAATCCTAGGAAGAGAATAGAGAAGGGACTGTAGTGTGGCCATCCCTCCTGAGGGGTAATTTTTTTTTCTTCTCTCTGTCTCCTGTAAGCTCAGGTGCCCTTTGGCAAAGATCTTAAAAAAAAAAAAAGACACAAATATATTGGATGAAATAATATAGTATTAAAATTAATTTCACTTGTTCCTTTCTACTTTTTAAGGGGGCTATGGGACAATTTTACATTATATACATTTTACATATGTGACTAGTGCACTGTATCTATAGCACAGAGCTGTCTTAGAGGTTATATAATCAGTACACCCCCTCCTGAGAATCAAGCATAATGAAGGTTTCGATCAGTTCACGTAAGACTTATGAACTGTGCTAACAGAATAAAGGTTGCAAGCTACTGGGCTTATTGGAAACAGGTTTGAAAATCATTAACTATCAATAGTATGACTTAAAGAGACATGCACAAAATGCTCTAGAACACAGAAAATGGGCAGAGTGTGTCATTCTGGTCAGTGAAAGGAGCTTAAGTTTCCTTTCCCTGACAATTCTAAGCAAAACAAGGCCCCAGTCCAAATCCACAGGAAAGTGCTCTATTTCAAAAGCTGAGCTATCACAGGAATGTGATTTTTTGTCTTCACTGAATAAAGACTCTTGGTAAAAAGGAACAATACTGTCTAATATTGTCGGAAAGATCGTTCAGTTTATCATTCTTTCAAATTTCAACACAGAAATAATGTATCTTTCTAGAAAATGTCTAAGAATCAGCAGATGGCTTCACTTGACTCCCACGCAGTCCACTCGGTTGGAGTCTCAGACCACACCAGGCACAAGTGCTTGTGTGTCCAAGGTCCTGAGAACTGAATGGAGAAGGGATTGCTGTGGGCCACCAGCCCCCTGGAGGTGACTTCTCGCTTCGTCTGTCTCGTCTCTCTCTGCGAGCAGAGGCACCCTATAGCAAAAATCTCTCTTAAGAAAATGTCTAAAGTTTGCAAAGCATTAAAATAATCAGCAACTTTGGACTGATTATGTTATTCGTCTATTTCTGCTTTCCTTGACTGTCTAACGTGTATTTCAGGAACTCGTTAGGCAGGGACAGACCTGGGTCAGCATCCCAACCATCCTTAACGCGATCACCAAGCACAACCAACCTCTCAAGCCCGCGTTCGGTCTGCAAGATGGGGATAACGCCTCTGCGAGGTATTACAAGTGTCGTGGTTCCTAAGAGCTCAAAAACTCCGAGCTGAAAGGGTCCTAAGGGTCTTCCCCCCAGTACTCTCCGTGGAGTACAGTAATTCAGCGCAGGCTCAGTTAGGAAACAAGCCACCCACGAGTTAGTAGCACAGGCTCCGGCTGCAACTCTGCCTCCAAGTATGACCTGGAGCAAGTTACTCATATCCCGTGAAGAGCGGCACGCGCCCGCACCTAAGCTGTTTCCTGAGTCGCCCATCGACCACCCCCGGCCCCCAATCCCGCCTCCGTGGTCCCCAAAACAGCAGCGCAGGCTGCTTCCCGCAAGACCGGTCGGAACAAAGCGTCCTTCGCTTCCTTGCAGCTAAGCCGCTTGCCCGCGGCCGCGTGTCAACTCCGGTGGCCTGAGCCCGACTCGGGCAAGCCTCGCGCACGCCCAAGAGAGGGGCCTGGTTCACTCCCTCTCTGTCCCTTCCTCGGACTCCGGGCCCACTGAGTGGCCGCAGCTACCTGGTTCGCCATGTCCGCGGGCTCCGGTCAGCATAAAGCGGGCATCCGGGGCGGGACGCGCCGGGCTGCGTGTGGGCGTGGCGTGCGCCGGGTGAGGAGGCGTGGCACACGTCGGCCCGGGCGTGTGCGTGCGCTGGGGGCGTGGGCGTGGGCTTGGTGAAGGGGCGTGGCTCAGCCCGGGACGGAGCGTGGCCACACGCTGGGGCCGAGGGCTGGCTGTGGGGGCGTGGCGTGGGGGTGTGGCTTCTGAGGGCGGGAAAGGCAGCACCTGGGTAAGGGCGAGGGCGCGTTCTCGTGGACGCCCAGTGGTCTTGCCCACGCGGCCAGGAAGGCTGCGGCGAAGCTGGACGTCGCCGGCTTGGCGTTTCGTAGAGTTGCTGTCAGATATCTTCATCCGAAAAGTCTTTCTCTGGTTAGTTTTAGTCCAGTCACGGTATTGATAGGGCTTACAAATCAGAAGAAGGGGAGGACGACACAGGTCGTTTAACTGGACACAGGCCAGAAGCACTGAGAGGCAGCTCCAGCTTTGTGCTCCGTGGGCAAAAGCCTACACTCTACACGCTTTGTGTCACCTCCAGGGCTCCCATGGCAGAGGAAGAACTGTGAACATTATGGTTGAGGGGCCCCTTCTGGAAACGTCCATTCCAATAGCTCCTGAAGGTAGGTGGGAGTTGCGTGGTAAGGGGTCAGTAGGCCTTGGCGAAGACACTTGTTGAGGAGGGAATGGGGGAAGCGAAAAGTCTCCCGGTGGCTACGTTTACCCTTGAACTCTGGCTGCTGTAAAGGGTGAATTTTGTTAAAATAGCCCTACCAGGCATACCACGGTCCTTTGTCTGCTATTTATTTATTTATTTATTTATTTATTTATTTATTTATTTATTTATTTTTTCCATAGCTCTTTTCCTGAGTACTCACCTTAAGGGTTAGAGATTTCAAAGATTCTGACCGAAGTGTTTGCTCTCTCTTATTTTTTAAAGAATTATTTTATTTACTGTTTATTTATTTATTTATTTAAATTTGATCAGAGAGGAATGAAGGGGGGAGTCCAGCACTCTTAACCACCATGCCACCTGCTGGACCCCTCTCTTTCCGTTCCACCCTGTCATCCACACTGTAACTTAGCTTCTATTAATATGAATGTAACAGTGAATGGGACACCCTAAAGCTAGTTAAAGGAGATGGATCCTCAGTGGTCAACTATAGCTGGAATTCAGGCCTGGCAGCTTGATGGACCATGTCCTGTGTGTGTGTGTGTGTGTGTGTGTGTGCATGCGCACGCGGATGCGGGCCCAAAGTCCCAGTGGGATGGAGAAATGGAGGAGAAGGGATTGCAACATGATGGTGTCCCACTGGGGGATGCTTTCTCCACTCTCAGTCTGTCCCTTTCTGGAGAGTACTTGTGCCCTCTGGCAATTAAGAAATTATGTCTTTATATGAAGATGATTTACAGATTATTATTTGTAATCAGGATGGCTCCTCTAGATCTCAGGCTTGGGCATACAACTGCCTACTAGATATCTGTCTTCAATAGGCTATCTCACAGTCATCTCAAACTCTACTTTTCTAAAATTTTGTATTTTGTCCTTGAAGAGATTCTTCCTTCTGTGTATGGTGACACCATCCACCTACTTGTCATAGCCATTAAACCTGAGAGTCACAACTTCTCCCTGTCCCTGAGTCATTCAATCTGTAACAAAATCCTAAATATCTCTCACATCATGTGCTTATTTTTCTCCCCACTGCTGTTGCCTAGTTGAGGCTCTCAGTTTTTTTAAAGAGTTACTGAAAAAAATCTTCTATCTAAATTTTCTTGATGCAAGATCCCTAGATCTAATCTACTTCTAAACTAATGCTCCCTCTGATTTTCCCCAAACATAAACCCATCAATACCATTCCCTTTCTGCTTTTAAATTTTGAATGAGGTGAGTTATAAATAAACAGATACCAATCTTATATTTAAAACCTTCAATGGCTAAAAGGTAGGTAAAAAATAATAAAATAAATTAAAAAATAAAATTTTGGGGAAAAAAGAGGTGTAAAAAGCAACTGTAGATACCAGAGACAGTATGGGAGGAGGGTGGGAAATGGCAGAGGGTGAGAAATAGGGAACCAAGGGGGGGGAATGCAAAATATATAAGAAACAAGAAAGGAAAAATTATTTGTTGTTGATAATATGTATAGAAATATTATCTATTAAACCAGTATACAGTGTATTCTGGATGGGAAATCTCATTTTGTATGTTGTGATGATGAACAGTGAATAAATGTAAAATCAATAAGATAAATTTAAAAAAAATTAAAAGCTAAAAAAAGAGAAAATTTCAAAAGGAAAAGTGAAGAGAGAAACTACCAAAATAAATGGAATGGGACATTGAAGAAATGTGGGACAACTAAAAGGTGTAATATGCACGTGGGGAAATACCAGGAGAAGGAAAGAAAAGAAACAACAAAATTTGAAGCAACAATAACTAAGAATTTTCCTAAATTAATGTCAGATTCCAAGCCACAGATACAGAAAGCTCAGAGCATACTAAGAAGGATAAAAGCCTGACAAACAACAACAACAAAAAAACTGCATGTAGACATAACATATTGTAACTATGGAAAATCAAAGATGAAGTCTTGAAAGAAACCAGAGAGAAAAAGTATCTTACCTATAGAGGAGAAAAGAGAGTTGCATTCAATTTTTCCTCAGAAACCATGCAAGCAAGAAGAGAATAGAGTGAAATATTTAAAGTATTCAAAGGAAAAAAAAATACTTGAGTTCTATGTCCTGACAAATTATCGCTCAAATGTGAAGAAGTCAGCTGTTGTGGAATAGTGGTAACAATTCTATGAAATTGTGAGGTCACATGGGAAGGTCCTGGGTTTTTGTCTTATGGTTTTCCTGTACATGACAGGTGCTTGTGCATAATTCTCTGATTCTGGCTGACTGAGCCTGGGGGTAGATTGTGGTGTGAAGACCCTACTTAGGTTACCCTCACCCCCTGCCATGGAAGAAATAAAACACATAAACTTTAAAAACACCTGAAGGAGAAAAAAACACTTTTACTGACAAAAGTTGAGGGAATTTGTTGGCAGTATATAAGCCTCACACACACAAAAAAATGTTTTAGAAAAAGCTCTGTAGAGAGAAGGAAAATAATACAGATCAGAAACCCAAATCTGTATAAAGGAAGAGCATGAGAGAAAAGGATAAGTGAATATAAAAACTTATTTTTCATATTCTTAATTGATCTAATGGCAGTTTGTTCATAATACTAATAGCAACAATGTATTCAATAATTAGTTTATGTATAAATGAGATGAGTAACATCAATGATACAAGGTACATGAGGGAGGGTTAGGATCATTTTGGTACTGTGAAGTACTTGCACTACCCATGAAGCTATATTTTATCTGGAAGTGGATTGAATTAGTTGCAAATTTATTGCACATTCTAGAGCACCCACTAAAAGAATTAAAAACAGAAGTAAAATTGATATGTGAAGAAAGGAAAGAAAATGGAAATATATAAATACTCCATTAACACCAGAGAGGACAGAAAAAGAGGGGAAGACAAAAGTAGGAAAAAAGAGGAAGGGAAATGAATAGAAAACAATAACAAATATGATAGATATTAATTCACTGTGTCCACAATCATTTTAAGTTTATTTATTCCATGAATGAGAGAGACACAGAGAGACAGGACCTGTGACAGGATTCTGCCATGTCGACTCACACTTAGCCAACCTAGATTATGGGGAACATAAATGAAATAAATGGAGAGATATTCCATGTTCATGGATGGGAAGAATAAATATTGTCAAAATATCATTTCTTTACAACTTGGTTTATAGATTCAACCCAATCCTATCAAAATTCCAACAAGTTATTTTGTGGATATTGAAAAACTGTTTCTAAAGTTTGTATGGCGAGGTAGAAAAATGGCCAACTCAGTATTGAAGGAGAAGAATCAAAGTTGGAGTACTGAGCTGATTTCAGGACTTATTACAAAGCTGTAATAATTCAAGAGAGAGTAGTATTGATGAAAGAATGAGACAAATTAATGGAACAGAAGAGAGAAGTCAAGAATAGACCCATGCAAATATAGCGGACTGATCTTTGACAAAGGAGCAGAGGCAATACAATGGAGAAGAGTTGGCCTTTTCAATAAGTGCTGTCTGAACAACTGGATGCCCAACTGCAGAAAATTGAATCTAGATGCAGAGTTGATGACCTTTTCAAAGGTTGACTCAAATGGGTTACAAACCTAAATATAAAGTGCAAAAATGTAAAATTATTATTTTTTAAAGAGGTTTTTGCCTTTGGGTGTGTGCCTTTGCCAGGGAGAGAAAGAAGGATTGAGAGGGAAATGAGAAATTATCCCCCAGGGAGGATGGCCACACTGCAATCCCTTCTCCTCCATTCTCCTCCCAGGATCTTGGGCATGCATATGCGTGCGCGCGCGCGCGCATACACACACACACACACACACACACACACACACACACACTATGCATGATTTTCAAGCCACCAAATCCATAACTCAAATTGTGATTGGCCACGTGGGAGTCCAGTGACATAATCACTATGTCATCTGCTGGTCTCAAAATTATTAGAAGATAACACAGGAGAAAGCCTAAGTAGTCTTGTGTATGACCTTGGTAAAACTAAACTTCATTAAAATTTAAAATTTCTACTGTGCAAAAGACAATGTCAAGAGAAAAGAGAAGCTGCAGAGTGGGCTTATTTTAATATTTGCAAGAGACATATGTGATAAAGAATTATTGAAAATAGACAAAGAACTCTTCAGACTCAACAGTAGGAAGATAATATTATTTAAAAATGGGTAAATTATTTCATGAGAAAGATATGCAGATGGCAACTAAGAATTATGAAAAATTTTCAACAGCATATGTTGTTTGTTAATTGCACATTAAAACAATAGTAAGATACCACTACGTATCAGAACAGCCAAAATCTAAACACTGACAACACTAAATGCTGGTAAGAATATGGAGAAATAAGAATTATCTTTCATTGCTGATGGGGATGCAAAATGGTACAGCCACTTTAGATGATAATTTGTCAGTTTCTTACAGAACTAGCCATACTCTT